CGTTCTGCCACTCGTTTCATTTCTCTACTGTTGACGTGTGAAAACACACTGCAGAGATTACACTGCTTTAAACTCAACAACGTGATGAGTCACAGGCATCGCCGTGTCGACAGGGGCGGGGCTTAAGTTCAATCTGATCCACCAATCAAACAAGCTTTATCATGTGACATTATCTGTTGACTTTCCTTCACATATTTAGCTAGATTTAAAGTAGTCACATTAGCTATATAGGAAAATACATAAGACTATATGCCGTGTTTTATTTTCCACTTTACACTGAGATTGAGTATTTATGTTTAATTCATTCAATTCAGTTTTATTTGTATAGCGCTTTTAACATAGGAAATTGTCACAAAGCAGCTTTACAGAAACAGAAATATATAATATCAGGAAAAACTCCCTGAGACTTCATGAGGAAGAAACCTTGAGAGGAACCAGACTCAAAGGGAACCTGTCCTCATCGGATAGTGCGATTATAAATCATTCCCTCCATAACTGTGTACTACATGGACAAATAGTGCAGTTGTGTAACCAGGAAATTCATTATAGTTGTCACAAGAAGTCCAATTTGTTGAAGTTATCCATTGTTCACTGATGCAAAATTTTTTGTGGGAAATGCAGTCCTAAAGCCACCACAGTACAACTCCCCATATGAACCGCTGTCCAAAGCCATCTTCGGATCATAAAAGACCAAAAGTTCGCTCAGGTACTGTGGCGCGAGACCATTTAGTGCTTTATAGGTCAATAGTAGTATTTTATAATCAATACGAAATTTGACTGGGAGCCAATGCAGTGTGGATAAGATAGGGGTGATGTGGTCATATCTTCTGGTTCTAGTAAGGATTCTCGCTGCTGCATTCTGGACTAACTGGCGCTTGTTTATGCTCCTACTGGAACATCCAGACAGTAAGGCATTACAATAATCCAACCTAGAGGTAACAAAAGCATTAACTAATTTTTCTGCATCGTGTAGTGACATTATATTTCTTATTTTAGCAATATTTCTGAGATGAAAGAAAGCAATTCTAGTTATATTATCTACATGAGCTTCAAAAGAAAGACTAGAGTCGATAATCACACCAAGATCTTTTACTGCAATGGATCAATGGTGTCAAAAGCTGCACTAAGGTCAAGCAGCACAAGCAAGGAGACACAACCCTGATCAGAGGCCAGTAGTAGGTCATTTACCACTTTAACCAGCACTGTCTCTGTGGTTCGCTGGTTCGATTGCTTCTGGAAATATCTGTCTGAAGAAACACGATTCATGACAAGTTGATGGTTTTTATGAGGAAATTAGTGAAATTCGTTCGGTCTCTCTAAAGGGACTAAAACCTTCTAATCGTTGATCTGATATCATTATATTATTATCTACAGGGTTAGTTATAAAACTGTCTGGTTTTAAATTAATAGTCTGAAGTTTTATTCCTGCTGGTCTTACTGAGGAATGCAACATGTTGTTTAAACCTTTGATGTTTTAAAATTTAGAATGAATATCATATAAATGTTTAATTTGTAAAACCTGACAGTGAAACAGTTTGAATATTTCTGTTTATATTTATTAGCTGTTTATCCTCTTACCTCTGGACTCAGCACATTTCAGCACTTCATCATTACCATGTGCTGAACAGAATTATGGGACTGTTTCTGTCTGAGAGGAAGAGGAGTTCTTGCGCTTTTAGATTTGTCCACAATAATGGCGCTGTTTTGAAGAGTTTGTCATGATAAAGTGGGTCACTTTAACCTAATAATAAAAAAAGTTCATTAAATTATATTCTAATTATATTTAATGACTTACTGACTAAAAACAGAGAAATAAAAACACTCAGTGAAGAGCATTTTGTGTGTGTGTGTGTGTGTATGTCGTGTGTGTGTGTGTGTGTCGTGTGTGTGTGTGCTGTATTTTATAAACTTTGTACTTTTATACTATGCATTTTATTTTTAGCAGGTAATTGTTACTGAAGTAATGGCCTGGAAGCTGTACAGAGAGTGCCATTATTTTTGCACCGTGTGTTAATTCCTGCTGTTTGTACTGAGGAATGTAACGTGATGTTTAAAGCTTTGATGTTTTCAATTTTAATAATATATTTTAATATAAATATATAAGATTCTGAACAGTTCTTTAAGGGTTTTAATGGGTCCTGAAATGGGTTCTTATTGGAACCATTTCTAAAGGTTCCACCAGAGCAAGAGTGAGAGTGTAGAACTACACAGTTTATAACACACACACACACACACACACACATATACTGTATATATATATATATAACGTAAAACAGAGAGAGAGAGAGCATACGTTTGTGTCCCTATGAATTCTGAAAAAAAGCAAAATGTAAAAACTTTTTAGAATAAAAGTGTTAATATATTCTATAAATAAAGAAAACAGCTTTTTTAAAAATGTGGGCGTGTCCTGAAACAGTGTCACAATCCAAAACAGATACAGACAAAAATGTATTTTTCTGCTAATGATTTTTTTGTTGATATTTTTGATAGTTTTTATTGAGGATGCAGAAGATAGGGATAGGTGGAGAGTGATGATTCGCTGTGGCGACCCCTGAAGGGAAAAGCCGAAAGAAGAAGATTTTTGATAGTTTTCCTTTTGTGTTGTGTTTAGGGTGCACAAACTTTTGCACTGTCCTGTACTGTGTTAAATGGTGTTTCTGTGCCAGCCGTATCGCTGTAGTGATCAGTGTAACGTATCACAATGTTCTCAGAAATGTACGATATCAGCATCAGCTCATCGCATCGTCCAGCTCCGGGACCGAGTGTTAGAAATCTGTCTCGCTTAAAATGACTGCACACAGGGTACAGTACCCATAATGCACTGGGGTGTGTATGACAGTGTGTACAGAAAGTGTATAGAGTGTGTATGGAGAGTGTGTGTGTGTGTGTGTGTGTGTGTGTGTGTATAGAGTAGTGTGTATGTGTGTGTATAGAGTGTGTGTGTATACATTGTACAGAGTAGTGTGTGTGTGTGTGTATAGAGAGTGTGTGTATAGAGTATATAGAGTAGTGTGTATGTGTGTGTATAGAGTGTGTGTGTATAGAGTGTATAGAGTAGTGTGTGTGTGTAGAGAGTGTGTGTATAGAGTGTATAGAATTGTGTGTGTGTGTGTGTATAGAGAGTGTGTGTGTATAGATTGTATAGAATAGTGTGTGTGTGTGTGTATAGAGAGTGTGTGTATAGAGTGTATAGA